TGGTACCTCAGCTGAAAATGCAGAAATCACCTGTCTTCTGTGTCGCTCATGCTGGGAGCTGGAGGCTGGAGCTGCTCCTATTCGGCCACTTTGGGTGCCATGTATAAAATTCTTTTCTTTAAATTATGCAGTCTCCGGTATTCAATATATTATCCAGTCTCAAGTATTCCATTATAGCAACACAAAATGGACTAAGATATACAACTTTCTCTGCTCTGCATATAAGGAGAATACTTTAAAAATTTGAGCATGATAGATTTTCCTCAGTGCAAATCACCACCAGAGAGTAGGTTAGGCCCTTAAGAGAAGGCCTAATTGGGTTCTAGGTGACTCTAATTCACTTTAGAAGTAACAATCAGTTTGCTTATCAAGGAACAGAACCCTCCCTTCTTCATTCTTGCAAAAACATGGCACTAAACTAAAAAGGGTTAAAAGTTTTTTTTTAATTTAGTACTTACATGTCATATGTCAAAAACTTTGCTAAATATTTTACATGTCCTAGAACATTTGATCTTCTCAATTGCTGTATTACAGATGAAAATGTTGAAACACAGAATGATTAAATGGTAATTTTTGCCCAGGACAACAAAAGTCCAAAAGAACAACTGAGATTTGAACCCAGATCATTTAATTTCTGATGCCAGGCTCCTTCCACAATGCTGACTAGTGTTTCTCTAAAGCAATCATTATCAAAAAAAATACTGATAAGGGAAAGAATATAATACATTATCATATACAACAAAACATAGATTTCAAGGCACAAGAACGCCACATATATCCTAAAATAATAGAAAAAAGTCTTCTTGTACAACTCATCTTGGAAGCTTGAATACATGCACCCTGCATATTTTTTCTACATGTGGGAAGGATGTCATTTCAGAAAATATAGATTTCACTGAAATGTGAAAGAGGTAAAGTCAGTCAACAATGGTCCTAAGTTGTAACTGAAGAGCCATCAGCAAGCAGGCTCAGCAACCCTAACATTCTAAAGTCAGACCTCCTGTTTATTAGGCTATGTGTTCAAGTGGAAATGCAAAGATTTTAGAGACAGATGGGAGTGTAAGGCTGCTACTGGCGTTAACTAGCAATGTGACCTCATTTAATCTCTCCAATTCTTTCTTTTCAGTCCTGCCTTTCTTTTTCACTAAAAGGAATATGCATCTTGTTGTGGAGGTTTGAGATGGTGTATCAAAAGTGCATGGCTTAGTAGATGCTCACAAAATGATTATTGTTGTTATGGTGATTATGTGGATGCCAAGGAGAAAGACAGCCTGTATGATTAATGACAGGGTTTTTTTTGTTTGAGCTCACAGCGTTCAATGAAACTTTAAGACCAAATTATATCTAATATACTGGCATGCATTGTGGGGAAACAAGATGGATAAACACCAAGTCTCTGCCATCAGGAACTGTACAACCCACAAATAAAATAATTATATAGAGAGTTTGGAAGCAGTTCAGTTTGTTGGTGGAAAGGGCTCAAATAAAACAATAATGGAGATAAGGTCATAAACGTTAATTGAGGCCTATCGCAGGTCTTGAATGCCAGAAGACAGAGTTCATTCTCAACTTGGCAAAATTCTGTGAGCAGAAAAGTGATTTAAAAATCCTAATTTTTACTTAGGTAGCTTTATCAAGTGAAGAAAGTGGCGGCAAGGAGTCTGGCTAATGATATGGTCCAATGTGAGAAGAGCATGAAGTTGGAATTGTTTTTCCAAGGTTGGTGGAAGAATTGAGCTGGTCCTCTGCTTTCCCTCTTAGAGTCTTTCTGGGACCCCAAAAGGAAGTAGAAGGTAGTTGGCTGAGGTTGAAGGTTGTTTGTGTGGAACAAGGCAAAACTGACTTGACTCCCTGGAAGTCACCACTCAGTGGCATGAGACTGCCCAACCAAGGTCTGTAAAACTTCCTTGGGTCCAGGTCTCATCACATTGCCCAAACGGCAAAGAAAAACAGTTTTCATTATATTCCAGATTCCTAGTCTTTCATGCCACAAAAAACAAAACACAAAAAAACCTAGTACTCCAAAATTGCATTTTGATGAAATATCTAATTAAATGCCTATGCCTAATAATGGTTTAGTAATGCGATATAACTCCAATTATTTTTCTTTAATGATATTCTACTTAGAATGTCATTATTATTTTCAGGAGTTATTTTAATCATTAATCTTTAACATACAGGATAGGAAATGAAAATAGCAATCCTATTGAATGCTAATCAGTAATTTGAAAAGATTTCCGGTGACTAAGTTAAAAACATCTTATTAATGTATTATATAATTTCTGTTACAGAACTACACATCCTTCAGTGAGTAGAGTGTGATTTTGAACACTGGGGAGGTGATTCAGTAAATAAGCAGAGGAAAAATATAACAGCAGGTAAGTAATGTATTTAAGGTTGTTTATCGAAGTGTCTGGCATATAGTAAGTGCCCCGAATAACAGGTGTTATTATTTTGAAATCCATTTGAATACACTTTCTTCTCCGGTGTTTATTTGTCAAATTAGCTCATACTTTGAACATAAAACTGTTACTGCTAAAATAAGCTAAGTGTATTGTAAGTCTGTAGAAATGAGTCATCTAAGTTCATTACACCAAAGAAAAAACTTTATCAACTACAGGACAATATATACAATGACGCTAGCTTTTCATCAAGATGAAACCCTGACTCACTAGCTTCAGTTACATTCACGATACTGTATTTATTAAAGGATGGTGTGTGCAGAAAAGTACACTTACCTAGTTTTGGAAAGTTCCCAGCAACCAGGGTTAAAATAGGTTTCTTCTTAAACTCATTAAAATAACCAGAAAACTCTCTTTCCTAAGCATCATGATTAATCAAGGCTTAACTAGACTTGAAGATTTTTTTTTTTTTGAGACAAAGCCTTACTCTGTTGCCCAGACTGGAGTGCAGTGGTGTGATCTTGGCTCACTGCAACCTCTGCCTTCCGGGTTCAAGCGATTCTCCTCCCTCAGCCTCCCAAGTAGCTGGGATTACAGGCACCTGCTACCACGCTCAGCTAATTTTTGTACTTTTAGTAGAGACAGGGTTTCACCATGTTGGCCAGGCTGGTCTCAAACTCTTGACCTCAAGTGATCCACTGGCCTCAGCCTCCCAAAGTGCTGGGATTACAGGCATGAGCCACCAAGCCTGGCCTAGGCTTGATTTCTTTTTTTTTTGAGACAGTCTCGTTCTGTCACCCAGGCTGGAGTGCAGTGACACGATCTTGCCTTACTGCAACCTTCTGCCTCCTGGGTTCAAGTGATTCTCCTGCCTCAGCCTCCTGAGTAGCTGGGATTACAGGTGCGCGCCACCGCACCCAGCTAATTTTTGTATTTTTAGTAGAGATGGGGTTTCACCACATTAGTCAGGCTGGTCTCGAACTCCTGACCTCATGATCTGCCCGCCTCGGCCTCCCAAAGTGCTGGGATTACAGGCATGAGCCACTGAGACCAGCCAGATTTCTTTCATGGCTTGTGATTCGTCAAAACATATCTTAAATTCCTTTGACTGGTAGGGGCAAAGAGTAAGAATATAGGAAAAATTTTAAAGTAGGTCATCCTAAAATGTTTTGGAGTTTCCTAGGACTCTAAAATAAAACAATGCCCATTCCTGTTAATTCTTTTTTTTTTTTTTTGAGACGGAGTCTTGCTCTGTAGCCGGGGCTGGACTGCAGTGGCCGGATCTCAGCTCACTGCAAGCTCCGCCTCCCGGGTTTACGCCATTCTCCTGCCTCAGCCTCCCAAGTAGCTGGGACTACAGGCGCCCGCCACCTCGCCTGGCTAGTTTTTTGTATTTTTAGTAGAGACGGGGTTTCACCGTGTTAGCCAGGATGGTCTCGATCTCCTGACCTCGTGATCCGCCCGTCTCGGCCTCCCAAAGTGCTGGGATTACAGGCTTGAGCCACCGCGCCCGGCCAAATTCTCTTAAATATATGTGTGTATTTGTGTACATATACTTAAACAGACATAGATATAATAGGGTATAAAGTCTAACTGCAGAAAATTGCAATGTGATTGGAACATTTGACATATTAAAAGGAGGACTCTTGAGACTGAATTAAGAGTGGTTAACAGGCCTCATTGAATTAATTTGCATACATTTTCTAATTTAGCAAACTGAAGAGAAATCATCTTCATAGGTTTCTTGTCCATGTCATGTAAGTGGTTTTGCTTGGATGACAGCAAATCAGTCATTTGATTCCATCAAATTAGGCAAGGTATCGAACAGGTTAGTAAAAGGAAAAATAATTAGGAAAAGAAAAAGGGGCAGGGTGTTTCAGTTGATCGACTCACACAACTGTCCCCAACAGACTCCAGTATAGATCTGCTGAAGCATATATTGTAAATTCAGTTCTTCATTTTTAAATAATCTTAATATGTTTCATACTTATCCTTTCTATAATCTTATAATTTGTATCCAATTATACAATTTATTATTTGTAAGAGCTCCACAGGGGAGAGACAAATGACACTTTGAGACATTACCTAGGGTACAAATATCATTTTTAAAAAGGAATGGAAGCTTTCCAGAGACAATACACCTTCTGTGACAGACATTAGTGAACTCATCAGCTTTTCCTGTTCTCTCCCCTCCAGCTACGTGGTGATGCTACTCTTCCTGACTCCCTCGAAGTTAGGAGTGGCCATGTGACTAATTCTGAATACTGGGTTGTGGCCAACCAGACATGTGTCACTGCTGGCTAGAGCTAGTATGAAACTCTCCAGCTCCCCTTCTCCTGATTGTGGTGACCACAGATGTCTCAGATGGTTCAGGCCCTGTCAGCGGGTCCCTGGGTGTGGATGACAGGAGCAGGGTGCCCTGCCAACCTGGGGTGGGCCTGGAGCAAGAGTGAGGAATAACCTGTACTATGTGAAGCCGCTGAAGGGTGAGGGTTGTCAGCACTGCATAATCTAGCCTGTCCTATCTAATATACATCTCTTGCTTGGAAAATGCAGAGTCCAGGTCATAAGTTTTAACAAAGGTACAGAAACGAAATGTGCTGGGTGGCACAGTGAAATTTATTTGTCTTTATGATTTACAAGTAATAATTAAACACACAAAAGAAAAAACACTGTCAAGATGGCCATATGTAGCTTAGGAAATGACTGGTCCCAATGCAATCATACAAATGTTCATTCGGCGTAAAAATGAATTTCTTTTTAATGGTTTTAATCTTTTTTTTTTTTTTTTTTTTTTTTTTTTCAGTCCCCAAGGCTTGTACCACTCAGTACAAATGTTTTTGCTACTGGGTTATCATCAGGCACATGATGTTTACCAATTCCCAGGAAATGAATAAAATCAACAGAAACATCCTGTGACAATAGAGCACATTTTCATAGAAATGAAATTGATGAGCTTATAACAGTTTGAATCAGTTCAGCTATTAGATCTACACATAAAACAATATTAACAAGTTACATTTGTATTAAGTTTTTTAAAAAAAATATTTATCATACTTTTTTGTGCAAGGATTCCACTGATTTCTTTGGTTTTAAACACGATAGATCTATTTTACCTAAATATATATAGTTCTATTTGTACCAAACATCAAAAATCAAAAAATTAAACAAAATTTCAAAGGGTAAAAATGGAATTATTGCTTCGATATAAAAAAGGCCTAGCCCATTTGAGAACTATTGCCATTATTACTTTCCTACTGGAAAACTATCCTGGAAATCAAGGAATGTACCCCGTAGCTCCCTGCAGAAAGTATAATTTGGTTGCACATTATCATCATATTAATATGACCCTATCTTCACCAAAGCTATCCTGATCTTGTCCTTAAAAAACAAAACAAAGCAAAATAGCATAAATAAATAAGTTTACCTAAGGGGATACAATAAATAGACTAGTATACTAGATAGGAATAAAGAATATTGTAACATAAAGCCCTTCAGTGCTGCACAATTAAACAATAGCTTTGGATTTTCAAGGTCTCTAAACGCAGCCTCCATTTCAAAACACAGTTTTATTGCTGGTATGCAGCTGACAGAACAGGAGAATACACTTCTTTTGTTCTCCTCATCTGAAAGTGAATGCACAGCAGATACAACTGTCAATTCTGCCTTTTGGGAATTTACCTGGGCATGTACCATTGTCAGTTTTTGACCTCTGACTAATTGTAGGGCAAAATCTTAGGATTAAAAATACACAAATATTCCTTCAATTCCTAGTGGTTTCTTGGTCTCCAGAATAGTTAAAAACAGAGAGGAAATTAGACTCAAAAGTTTTGCTGCCTTCTTTTTTTTGCATCCATTGCATCCAGAATGGGCTGTCTTTTCGCAGTGTATCTCTGACGAAGTTCTTCTATCTCCCGTTCCATCATAGGGTCCAGTGCTTTTAATCGCATCTGTAGTTCTTCTAAACTTAGATTTTTCAACTAGATATAGAAACAAACAAAGATATCAATATAGTGAAATTATCCACAACACATTAATGTCTAATGAGTTTTAACATAAATATTTCAGCAAATTCTTTACATCATCTTTGAAGTATGGTTCAACAATTAAAACAGGAATTTCTTCCTTGAAGAACCCAGAGGTCATATCTTGCAAGAACCTCAAGTAATCTGCAATGAAACAATCGGATCATCTGCCTTTAGTAAAGGGCAAAAGAGAAAAATATGCTGATAGAATTTGTAAAAAGGTACAAAGACAAATCCACCCCTGACAACAAACAGATTTTCAGAATACGTTCCAGGTATATTCACTCTAACTTCTTACATCTTTGCCAGCTACCGAGTGCTACAATAATAATGAACACTTGCAGAGATCACCCAAGAACATGACAAGACTGAATAAAGGTTAAATTAACCATTCTATCCTCCATTTTACCAAATGCTTAATAAAGAAGATGACTGTGGTAGGGGGTGGGAAGTAAGGCTGAATAGGCCTGGTGGGGCCCCAAAAGTAGGAAGCCATGATCAATTCTGGAGTAGGACAGTTATGTAAGAGTAATCCAGATTTTGTTTCTCCTTCTCCTTCTCCTTCTTCTTCTTCTTCTTTTTTATTTTTTTGAGACAAGATCCCACTATGTTGCCCAGGCTAGCCTCAAGCTTCTGGGCTCAAGAGATCCTCCTCCTTCGACCTCCTCAGTAGCTGGGATGTGCCACTGCACCCAGCTAAGGCTTCGTTTTAAAATGATAAAACTTGCAACTTACTTTTTGTTTTAAAAAGATAACTGTCTTTGGTTATTTTATGAGTCAAGGAAGAAAAATACTCATTACTTATAGTCATCCAAAGTAGCATGTCCCAGCAGATCCTTTTACTCGCCATCCCTGGCCCTATCGTGACTTCTGCTTCCAAAAACCAAATTCACTCTTAGCTGAAAAAGACTCTGAGGATACTGAAAAGAATGAGTCACAGACTCTCTGAAGGAAATTCAAAAAAGGAGTTCCAAAAATATTTTGAGAAATGACAGTATTATGGAGAAGAGTATGCAGGCTTCCATGATGATGACTTTGAAGGTGAATGCCACTCACTTCAGTACATAGGAAGTTCTGGTATGTATATTAATAATCAGCCCTGTTACTTTGTAGTCATATGTCATGAAAGAACCTAGCTTTTAATATTATGCTATAAAAGATACATTTATATATAATATGTATTATTATACACTTTCTTCATTGACTTTTAATCCAAGTAGTGATCATGCATCTGTTACATGCTCAGTGCTGTTCAAATTGCTGTGGGGATACAGAATAAGACAAACAGGGAAACTCCAAACTTTGAACTGTACACATCAGTAATGGCCACACTGAAAGGCCAATGTATACCACACAACCACATTTCCCAAGAAAGACACACCCAACTATGTCTACTTAGGATCCAATTCCACTTGTGTGTTCTTCAACATCATCTCTATTTCAGCCCATGTTAATCTTTCCCATTTCTAAATTTCTATGTAACACTCATAATTTAAACAACACAATTTAGTATTTGATTCTAAATCATGTACTATTTTATAATTGATTTTTATGCATGAGTTTCATGTCCCTAGATATTCCAAAACATACTTAGACTTTAGAGACTGTACATACACCAAGAAACTATCCTACCATACTGCAAATAACATGACATAAAGGTAGATAGATAAATACAAATAAGAATACATTACCCAAAGGAGTGGGTTACTCTAAGATTAGAAGAACTAACATATTATATAAAGCAAACAATTATCATTACTTTAATTCTGATTTAAGTTATTCCTGTAAATATCTTGTACTACTTTTACTGGGGCAAACTGCCAATAAGTTTATAAATATTGTATTGTAGTAACAGAATTAACTCAGAGAAAGAAGCTACTGAGAAGAAAAATGTTCTTCCTTTAACAGATTTTTATATTTTCAATACGTAAAATTTGTGAAAAACAGGTCTGCGATATTAGAGAACCATTATCTCACATTATTAAGGAATTAGGTGTTCATGTTAGTAAATTAATGAAGTACCTAAATCTTTGTCCTTTAAGTGATAAAACTTTGTCTCAGTATCACATACACACACATACACACACACATGCAAGCATACATGTGCGCACACACATGTATTTACATATGCTCTTTTTTGGTTCTATATGACTTTTAGGATTTTTTTCTAATTTTGTGAAAAATGATGTTGGTATTTTGATAGGAGAAGGACTGAATCTGTAGACTGCTTTGGGCAGTAAGGTCTTTTTCATAATATTGATTCTTCCAATCCATGAGCAGCAGATGTATTTCCATTTGTGTCATGTATGATTTCTTTCAACAGTGTTTTGCAGTTCTCCCTGTAGGGATCTTTTATCTTCTTGGCTAAGTATATTCCTAAATAATTTATTATTATTAATTATTTTACAGCTATTTTAAAAGAGGTTGAGTTCTTGCTTTGATTCTCAGCTTGATCACTGTTTGTGTATAGTAGTGCACTGATTTGTGCACACTCATTTTGTAACCTAAGACTTTACTGATATGGTTTGGCTGTGTCCTCACTCAAATCTCATCATGAATTATAATCCTCATAATTCCCATGTATCTAGGGAGACACCTGGTGGGAGGTGACTGGATCATGGGGGCAGTTTCTCCCATGCTGTTCTGGTGATAGTGAGTGAGTTCTCACAATATCTGATGGTTTTATAAGGGGCCCTTCCTTCTTCACTCTCACTCTGCTCTCCCCTGCCACCACATGAGAAGGTCCAGGCTTGCTTCACATTCACCTTCACCTTCTACCATGATTGTAAATTTCCTGAGGCCTTCCCAGTCACATGGAACTGTGAGTCAATATACCTCTTTCCTTTATAAATTACCCAGTCTTGGGTGTTTCTTTATAGCAGTGTCAAAATGAACTAACACAGTTAACTGGCACTGAGGTAGTGGGGCACTGATATAAAGATACCTGGAAACGTGGAAGTGACTTTGGAACTGGGTAATGGGCAGAGGTTGGAATAGTTTGGAGGGCTCAAAAGAAGATAAGAAGATGTGGGAAAGTCTGGAACTTCCTAGACACTTGTTGAATGGTTTTGGCCAAAATGCTGTTAGTGATGTGGACAATGAAGCCCTGGCTGAAGTGATCTCAGATGAACATGAGAAGCTCATTGGGAACTGGAGCAAAGGTCACTCTTGCTATGCTTTAGCAAAGGGACTGGTGGCATTTTGCCCCCACCCTAGAGATCTGTGAAACTTTGAACTTGAAAGAGATGATAGGGTATCTGGTGGAATAAATTTCTAAGCAGCAAAGTGTTCAAGATGTGACATGGGTGCTCTTAAGAGCATTCAGTTTTATGGATTCACAAATAGATGGTTTGAAATTGGAACTTACATTTAAAAGGGAAGCAGAGCACAGAAGTTTGGAAAATTTGCAGCCTGATGATGTGATAGAAAAAAACTCATTTTCTGCGGTAGAAATTCAAGGCTGCAGCAGAAATCTGCATAAGTAATGAGGAGCCGAGACAATGGGGAAAATGTCTCCAGGGCATGTCAGAGATCTTGCCAGCAGCCCCTTTCATCACAGGCCTGGAGGCCTAGAAGGAAAAATAGTTTGATGGGCCAGGCCCAGGGGCCCTGCTACTCTGTGCAGCCTTGAGACATGGCACCCTGCATCCCAGCCATTTCAGTTCCAGTCATGGCTAAAAGGGGCCAAGGTACAGCTCGGGCCATGGCTTCAGCTCATGCTTTGGTGGCTTCCACATGGTGTTGGGCCTGTGAGTGCAGAGAAGTCAAGAACTGAGGTTTGGGAACCTCTACCTAGACTTCAGAGGATGTAATGGAAATGCCTGGATGTCCAGTCAGAAGTTTGCTGCAGGAGTAGAGCCCTCATGGAGAACCTCTGGTAGGGCAGTGCAGAAGGGAAATGTGGGATTGGAGCCCTCATAAAGAGTCCCTACTGGGGTGCTCCCTAGTGGAGCTGTGAGAAGACAGCCACTCTCCTCCAGACCACAGAATGGTAGATCCATCCACAGCTTGCACCAGACGCCTGGAAAAGCTGCAGACACTCAACAACAGTTTGTGAAAGCTGCTTAGAGGAGGGCTGTAACCTGCGAAACCACAGGGGTAGTGCTGCCCAAGACCATGGGAGCCCACCTCTTGCATCAGTATGACCCAGATGTGAGACATGGAGTCCAAGGAAATCATTTTGGAACTTTAAAATTTAATGGCTACCCTGCTGGGTTTCAGATTTGCCTGGGGCCTATAGCCCCTTTGTTTTGGCCAATTTCTCCCATTTGGAAAAAGAGCATTTATCCAATGCCTGTACCCCCATCGTATCTTGGACGTAACTAACTTGCTTTTGATTTTACAGGCTCCTAGGTGGAAGGGATTTGCCTTGTCTCAGATTAGACTTTGGACTTGGACTTTCGGGTTAATGCTGGAATGAGTTAACACACTGGGGGACTGTCAAAAAGGCATGATTGTATTTTGAAATGTGAGGACATGAGATTTGGGAGGAACCAGGGACAGAATGATATGGTTTGGCTGTGTCTCCACCCAAATCTCATCTTGAAGTGTAATCTCCATAATCTTGGTTTATAATCCCCATGTGTCTACAGAGAGACCTGGTGGGAGGTGATTGGATCATGGGCGCAGTTTCCTCCATGCTGTTCTCATGATAGTGAGTGAGTTCCCACAAGATCTGATGGTTTTACAAGGGGCTCTTTCCCCTTTGCTCTCTGCTGTCTCCTGCCACCATGTGAGAAGGTCCAAGCTTGGTTCACCTTCACCATCTGCCATGATTATAAGTTTCCTGAGGCCTCCCCAGCCATGCAGAACTAAGAAACAACTTGACTTTTAAAAACATATTGAGACTTGTTTTAAGCCTATCACACGGTTTATCTTGGAGAATGTTTCACGTTGGATGAGAAGAATGTATATTCTGCAATTCTTGGGTAGAATGTTCTGTAAATATTTATGTC